ACAAAGAACGCCATAAAAATTTATAAATTTCTAGAAACATACCAATATTTCAAAGATGAATCAGGAAGAACAAAAATCTGAAGAGAATGATAACTTTAATAAAATTTAATCCGTAATAAAAAAAAACTCCCAACAAATAAAAGACCCGGACCACATGGCTTCACAGGTGAATTTTACCAAACATTTAAAGAAGAATTAATACCTATTCTTCTCAAACTATTCCAAAAAATTGAGATGGAAGGAAAACTACCAAGCTCATTTTACAAAGCTAGCATTATACAGATTAAAACACATACACACACACACACACAAAAAAAAAAAAACTACGAAAATTTTTAGAACAATGTCCATGTTGAACATAGATGCAAAAATCCTCAACAAAATATTAGCAAATCAAATTCAACAATACATGAAAAAGATCATATACCATGATCAAGTAGGACTTATTCCTGGGATGTCAGCCAGGATCAATATCCACAAATTGATTAACATGATACAACACATAAATAAAATGAAGGATAAATATCATATGATCACATCCATAGATGCAGAATTTAACATTTGACAAAATCCAATACTGATTTATGATGAAAACTCTCAGGAAAGTGGGAATAAACAGAATATAACTCAATGTAATAAAGGCCATAAATGCCAAACACATAGCTAACATCATATTCAACAGTGAAAAGCTAAAAGCTTTTCCTTTAAAGCTAGGAACAAGAAAAGGGATATCTTTTATTTAACAAGATATTGGAAGTTCTAGCCACAGCAATCAGACAACAATAAAAATAAATAAATAAAAGACATTCGAATTGGAAAGGAAAAAGTAAAACTGTCATTATTTGCAGATGACATGATGTTATCTATAGAGAATCCCAAAGAATCTACACAAAAAATATTAGAATAAATGAATTCAGTAAAATAGCAGGACACAAAATTAATATTTGGAAATCAGTTGCATTTATATGCACCAATAATCAACTATCAGAAAAAGACTTTAAGAAAACAATCCAATTTACAATTGTATCAAGAGAAATAAAATACCTAAGAATAAATTTAACCAAGGTGGTAAAAGACCTATACTTAGAAAATTATAAGACACTGAGAAAAGAATTGAAAAAGAATAAAATAAGTGGAAGGGTATACTATGCTTATGGATAGGAAGAGTTAAAATGTCTATAGGTCCCAAAGCAATACTGATTCAATAAAATCCCTTTCAAAATACTAATGCCATTTTTCACAAAAGTAGAACAAATAATCCTAAAAATTATATGGAACCATAAAAAAAAACCAAATACTCAAAACAATCTTCAGAAAAAAGGACAAAGTTGGAGGTATCACACTATTTGATATCAAACTACTACAAGTCTGTAGTAGTCAAAACAGAACAGGAAAGGCATAAAAAAAAAATGACCCATGGGTCAATGCAGAATAGAGAAGGCAGAAAATAAACCCATGCCTATATGATCAATAAATCTATGAAAAAGGAAACAAGAATATACAATGGGGTAAAGCCAGTCTCTTCAATAAATGATGCTGAGAAAATGGACAGATACATGCAAAATAATAAAACCGGATCACTTTCTTATACCGTATACAAGAATAAACTCAAAGTGGACCAAAGACTTAAATGTAAGGCTCAAAACCATAAAATTCCTAAAAGAGAACATTGGCAATACACTCTTTGACATTGCTCTTAGCAATATTTTTTTTGGATATGTTTCCTTGGGCAAGGGAAATAAAAGGAAAATAAACAAATAGGGCTATATGAAACGAAAAAGTTTTACACAGCCAAGGATTCCATCAAACAACCAACTTAATGGACAAAAATATTTGCCAATATTTGCCATTTGCAACAACATGGATGGACCTAGAGGGTATTATGCTATTAAATCAGACAGATAAAGACAAATAACATATTATTTTACTTATTGTGGAATAAAAAAACCAATATAAATAAACTAAAAAAACAGATGGTTGTCTGATAGGAGGGAATTTGGAGGATAGATGAAAAAGGAGAAGGGATTTAGAAATACAAATTGCCAGTTATAAAGATAATCACAGGGATTTAAAGTACAGCACAGGGAGTATCCTATATAATAAAAGGGTAATATGCAAATAGACCAAACGGCAGAACAACCAATCAATCAAAGCGTGACATGCTAATGATATGCTAAGGCTGCTCAACCACTCGCTATGATGTGCACTGACTACCAAGGGGCAGATGCTCCGACCAGTAGGTTAGCTTGCTGCTGGCGTCTGGCCAATTGGGACTGAGCGAGATGGACTGGACATGTCCTGGAGCCCTCCTGCAGTCCCTTCCCAGCCCAATCATGCACCGGTGGGGTCCCTCAGCCTTGCCTGTGCCCTCTCACAATCCTAGACCCCTCAGGAGATATTGGAGAGCCAGTTTCAGCCCATCCTGCAGGCCACTCCCCTTGGGAGGGTGCCAGACATAGGGCTGGCAAGCGCTGATGCAGCAGCATGAGCCACTCCTAATTGATGGGACTGATTGGGCTTGAGCAGGTTTGAGCCCACAGCAGGCACAATGAGGCCTGGATGAGTGGGTGAGGCAGGTAGGAGCTGCAGGCAGTATTGGACTGTGGGTTTCGGCCCGATCCCCGCAGGCCACTCAGAGGGACCCCACCCATGCATGAATTCGTGCTCCAGGCCTCCAGTACTCAATAATAGTGTAATCACTATGTATGGTGTCAGATGAGTTCTAGACTTACCAGGGCAATCACTTCATAAGTTATATAAATGTTTAATCACTATGTTATATACCTGAATCTAATATAGTATTGCATATAAACTGTAATTGAAAAAAAATTAAAAAAATCATAATGGAACACCTTCAACTATAAATAATGAAAACAAACAAGAAGGGTCACAAATAAATTCTTTTTTGATGATTATTTATAGAATTTGATTTAAGGGTCTTTATTCAGCTCATTAAATAAGAGTTTCTTCATCCTCCACAACCTCTTGAAAGATATACTATTAATGAATAATAAATCCGACTAGAAAGAAAAAAGATGTATGAAAAGAAATCTGCCTAGTACTTTATAAAGGAGACTGGCGATGGGGCTGGCATTATATTAACAAAATAAGATTAAAAATACTGTTTATCTCCTGTGGCAACTTCAGTCTGATTCTCTTAAGACTTAAAAGGAACTCTACAAGTGAAAATTAGAATAAATCAACTTAGGCTGGTTGGGTTGTTAGCACAGTTAATGAAGCTTTGGAAAACTTTACATGATTGATAAGTCCCATGCTTTATCATGGGCTTAAATAAAACAATAACTGAAAAAGAAATGTTAATTTTACCCTAGTCAAGATTCAACTAAAATGTTTTGCCGATTCCAGGGCCTGGGGATCTAGAGGGCTTCAAATAAAGATGGGGTCAGGTTGTGATCATCCTCTACAGTTCAGAAAAACAATATTTTCTAGAAAAGAACTAGTATAGGAAATTTTCTACATTTTGCTTGCAGGGAGACCTAAGTGCCAATCTCTTCCATAAGCCCTCCTCAACTCGTCTAATGCATAACAAGCTTCTCTTCTCTTAAAAATGTTTTCCCTTTGAATCAGTGCCACATGGTTTAATATTTGTACTTAATAACTTGAAAACTTCTTAATGGAAAATGTCCCACACATTCATTAATTTAGTACTGAATTGGGAGTTTGAGCTCAGGCAAGTTGGATTGACTGATTGCTTAATAGGTTTCACATATGCCAATTACATCAACATATCATCTGTAGAGTGTTATAGGACATACAGCAAGATGAGAAAACTATGAAATTGGGGGCAAGCAAGTGGAATTCAAATCCCAGCTTAAACATTTATATCTTGTGATATTTAGGACACATTATTTGCCCGGTGACTTAGAAACTCAGTTTCCTCATCTTTCAAAGTTGAGCTATATTAAACGTGATACTGTTTTTAAATTACAGATTGCTTGGAACATGGGAGGTGCTCCATAAGTGGGGGCAGTAGACCTAAGTTTGAATGTACTAAACTAGGTTTATTAATAAGGGGAAAAATGGGTGTTGTGGGTAACGACCTAAAGACTTGATAATAGGTATAGCTCTCCTAAGTAGGTGTCCCAGGTCTCTTGGAGGTATGACCAATTAGAAGGCAGGTAAAAGAATTACAGCTTTTCAAGGTCTTTTTAAACTGTTTCTAGGGAGCAGTTGGAATTTCTCAGGAGACCAGCTCTTTGAGGCTACTCAGCAAGTAATTTCTTGTGGTTCCCATGCCCATAAAGCCCAAGATTAAACAGCCTCATCCCAAAAGACATAACTATACAATGCAAGAGCTACAGCAAAGGAAACTGAATTGGCAAGATCAACAAAAACTGAAATAACGCACAAGGAAATCAAACACTTGATAGGCCCATTTTGCAAAAGCATAAAGCAAAACCAGTCGATGACAGAATTTTATTTCTATAAGCATTAAAGTCACTTCCGAACAACTTAATGTAAGGGGCAGCCTGGCGCTGAGAACAACAAAGAATGTATCATTTAAGAGGAGGCCTCCATATTATCATTATCATTTGTTCAGCATGGAGGTCGGGCCTGTCTCTGACCACTGGAGGCACGTCTCTGAGCCTTGCTTTTCTGGATAATGTCACCACAGAAGGGAGCAAGTTCATACGGGTGATCATTTCAGGCAAAGACTAGTTCTAATTAGCAAGTTTGTGTAAGTGTGGGATGAGGGCTCATTAAAGCTCTCAGCCGACCAACCTGAAAGGCACTGCAGGCCCTCAGTGGGAGGATTAACTGTCTTCTCAGCCCTGCAGCACCTTCTCAAGCTCACACCTACTTTCCTTAAGAGCAGGTATGCCTGCCACCCAGCATCATCATTAGCTGTTGGGTGGATTAGAACAGGAGAAGCCTTTTCAGGAACCACAGGACGCCCATGGGTCAAGAGGCTGGAGGAAGCGGTAGGGAGGAAGAGAAAAAAGTACCATCACAAGTTCTGCAGCATACATCAATCTTACCTTGCAGGAGCAGACAGAACACCTATCTTCTTTCAGGGTCCACACCTGCCCATTGCGCTTCACTCCTCCTCCGTGGGTGCAGTCACCGGAGCAGGAGGGCCCAGAGGGACAGAGGCAGTCGAAGCCCCCTGCCAGGTTGATACAGGCAGAATCGTTCCAGCAGGTATGGGTTCGTAAGGCACATTCATCAATGTCTGCAATAAAGAAAGCATAGAGCTTTCGAATCCAGCCAATTATTAGAAAATACTAATCACTTATAATAACATCAATTAACACTACTGAGCATTTACCTTGTGCCAGGTACTGTGCCAAGCTGCTCACATGCATAATCTCATTTATGCTGCCAGGCAGCTTTGTGGTGGAGGATCTGTTCTTATCTCTATTTTGCAAATAATGGAGCTGAGGTTCATCACCGAAGTTAATTATCATGCCCACTGTCATTTAGCTAATAAGTGGTAGGTCTGAGATTTAAACTCGCAACTATTGCACTCCAATTACTAAATTATCTGGTAGTAGCTCTGTATTAACTTTAGAATAGTCTCAGGAACTATACCATCCTTAACAGTGTAGATGCACCCTATGGAGAACTGGGTCTTTTAGCAAAGGTGTGAATAGATTGATTACACCTGAGTAGGAACAAGTGGGTAATTAGGGAAACCCTGAACCAGTAGACTTCAAGCAGATCCTGGGGCCAAGGATGAAAGAAGAGGGAACAGTTCTTGGGAGGAGCTTTCCTAACCAAGCCTCACCATCCTAATGGCCAGCAGCATGTTACCAAATGAGAAAACATCTCAGAGCTACCGTAGGGTATGGTGCTGATGGTGATGAAAGACACACATTTATTTTGCTTTTTTTTTTCATTGATATCCAGGTATGGAGAGAAAACATAAATCCAGTCAACCCTCCCCACATTCAAAGCTCAGGTGACCTTAACAATAATCCAGGGAGTTGTTCAGCCCCAGCGGGCAATCTATTACCTCATAAGGTAACCAGTTCCATCACTGAATTACTCTTACAAATGTCTTCCTTAAATTGAAATGAAATATATTAAGCAGTAGCTTCTACTTCTTGGTACTAGTTCTGAGACCATCCAAGGAAAGCCTTTTTCTTATTTATGACATTATTTATGCTATTTGAAGACATTGGTCATTTGTCTATCAGAGTATTCTACTCCACTGATCAGTCTACTGTCATGCCCTTCAATTATCCTTCAAATGACAACATTGATTCCAACAAATTGTTGCCAAACGTTTGCTATGCATAAGATCCTTTGCTTATAAGACATTGTCCTCATGAGATGATAAGGAGAAACACAAGTTAGAATAAGAACAATGTAAATTAACTTATTCTACATCCCAAATTTCATATTAAATATGTATAAGGTTGCAAGCACTTGATTATGGGCTAAATTAAAAAAAAATGTCATTGGTGTTAGGGTCACCAAAGGAGGGACACACTCAAAGCCAAAGTGGTAAGGGATTATAAATGTATTAGGTCATCTGGATAGCAGATGGGCTGAGCACTAAAATGTATTCTACATCCCAAATTTCATATTAAATATGTATAAGTTTGCAAACACTTGATTACGGACTAAATTTTAAAAAATCGTCATTGGTGTTAGGGCCACCAAAGGAGGGACACTCGAGGCCAAAGTGGTAAGGGATTATAAATTTTTTAGGTCATCTGGATAGCAGATGGGCTGAGCACCAAAATAGCACCAACCCCCAAAGATGGGAAGTCAGAGGTTTTAAAAGTTCTCTAGGCGGGCTTTTTCTGGGCAGAGAATTCTCTGTGCAAGTCCAGATTCTGGAAACTCCAGAGGCGAGAGATTATGGTCTTAGCAAGTGGAATGTGGTCTAAGCAAGTGGAATATCCCTTGTGAAGTGGCCTAAAGGTCAGTTCCCAGGGGAGAGGGTATCAATTCAATTATCTGATCAGACCTAACAGTTGGCATTTCCCCCTAAAGTGCTCAAAGAAATAAAATGCTCAAAGCATCAAATAAACTTAACTGCTACCACTTTTTATATATTGCTTCCAAGTATTTCAAAACCTTCTTTCTCATGAATTGTGCCATATAATTAATTGCAAGATGAAAGAGTTATTCACATGATACAAAAGAAGAAACTAAAGTGCAGAGATGGCTAACTGGTCACACAGCTAGTACACGTCAGAGCAAGGATTGTGTCCTGGAGCTTCTGATAGGTGCACTAGAGTTCTTCCCACTGTACCATGTCAACTCAAGATCCAAAAGTCTGTGCCACCTTTCAGTGTACTATAATATTTTCTGGTTTGTCTACTTTCAATGATTTACCCTCTGGACATTGCAACTCATTTTCAAGGATAAGATCTTATGTGAATCTTCTTTAGTATTTTTAGTTAAAATTTTGAGAATGATACAATTAGTCAAAGTTTGCTAGAATTTTGAAACTACTGTAACTTAAAAATAATGAGAGAGACATGACCTATCTTTTCTGCCTAAAGGCAGGCACTGTATTGGTATAATACTTGGCTTCACAGCACAGGTACAAAGTAGAAGATGTTAAGGATTAGGTCATCTGGATAGCAGATGGGCTGAGCACCAAAATAGCACCAACCCCCAAAGATGGGAAGTCAGAGGTTTTAAAAGTTCTCTAGGCAGGCTTTTTCTGGGCAGAGAATTCTCTGTGCAAGTCCAGATTCTGGAAACTCCAGAGGGGAGAGATTACGGTCTTTGCAAGTGGAATGTGGTCTAAGCAAGTGGAATATCCCTTGTGAAGTGGCCTAAAGGTCAGTTCCCAGGGGAGAGGGTATCAATTCAATTATTTGATCAGACCTAACAGTTGGCATTTTCCCCTAAAGTGCTCAAAGCAATAAAATGCTCAAAGGCATCAAATAAATTTAACTGCTACCACTTTTTATATATTGCTTCCAAGTATTTCAAAACCTTCTTTCTCATGAATTGTGCCATATAATTAATTGCAAGATGAAAGAGTTATTCACATGATACAAAAGAAGAAACTAAAGTGCAGAGATGGCTAACTGGTCACACAGCTAGTACACGTCAGAGCAAGGATTGTGTCCTGGAGCTTCTGATAGGTGCACTAGAGTTCTTCCCACTGTACCATGTCAACTCAAGATCCAAAAGTCTGTGCCACCTTTCAGTGTACTATAATATTTTCTGGTTTGTCTACTTTCAATGATTTACCCTCTGGACATTGCAACTCATTTTCAAGGATAAGATCTTATGTGAATCTTCTTTAGTATTTTTAGTTAAAATTTTGAGAATGATACAATTAGTCAAAGTTTGCTAGAATTTTGAAACTACTGTAACTTAAAAATAATGAGAGAGACATGACCTATCTTTTCTGCCTAAAGGCAGGCACTGTATTGGTATAATACCTGGCTTCACAGCACAGGTACAAAGTAGAAGATGTTAAGGAATTCCAATAATATTTCTAGAAGCTAATTCATTCTGAGGTTTAGTTTTTTATTTTGTCCCACCAACTGCAGCCTCAGTCAAGACATTTAGTTGATGAATAATGATTTCTTCTTTGAAAACTGTGGAGATAATCCCAAATTAAGATGCCTAGATTCCAGGTTAACTATAATCAGACCGCAATTACTCCTCATTGTTCCTGGTCATGCCCACATCATTGCCAAAGTATTTTACTAAATGATGTTCCTGCCTAAAACCTCTCTCATCTTCCACTACTCCAAATCCTCCTAATCGAATAGGTTTTCGTCATATTTGAAAGCAAGATCTTTCATTTAATTGAGTGCATACTATGTATAAGTCATTTGACATATCACACTATGTGTTCTTGATCATATTATCGAGCCTCTTTGACCCCCATTTATCTCTTGTATAAAACCATATCCACTTAATCTAAGGTTGTTTGAAAATAAAAATGTAGATAACATAATAAAGTCTGACTAAATCTTTGGTTTTTGTTTTATTAAATATAAATATTTTAGACAAAGTTCAAGCCCCACCTCCTCAGCTAAGTATCTCACAATATGAAGCAAATTCATATTAACCATTCACATCTGAATTCCCACTGTAATGGCATTAAGTGGAATAATACTAAAGTGATCCATTTGCATTATTCTGACTCCCCAGTTTTTGCTGAAAGAAACAATTAAATTATTCAATCTTATACTTCTCTCATCACATTTATAGTTGAGTTTATATGTTTAGGAAATATATATAGAGAGTAAATTGATAGCTAGACCAATGGCTCATTACATACATAATCATAACAAATAAAATTTAGATTTTCTCAAACTCTGTGTTTGCTCAGATCAACATTCTTATCACTGGGACTATTTCATTAGCCTCCTTTCTGGTCTCCCTGACTTTAGTCACTTCTCACTCTTATTCTTGGAGTTTCAATTGTGGGCCCAATCAAAAGAATTTAGGGAACCTTGAAAAAGTACTGGTGGACAGTTCCCACTACTACAGAATGATTTAATTGGAATAAAGTAGCATGCAGACATCTTGGCTCTGTTCAGTCAGATGAGGATCATTGCTCTAAACACTTTCCACATGGGAGTGGTGTTTGTTCTAAAAGCAAATGTGTCCATGTCACTCCTTTGCTGAACACCTCTTAGTGGTTCTCTGGTGCTTAGAATAAAAGGTTCAAACTCCCAGCAAATCCTATAAGACCCAATCTTACACTTTAATAGTTACCTTCTGCCTTTCTCCCTTTCCACTCAAAAGCCATAGGTGATACACAGACCATGTTGTTTCCTCAGTCTGTGACTTAGAACATGCCTTTTCTTATTTTAGTACTCCCCCCTTTCCTAACTCTACTTTTTCTCAGCCCATTTGCAATGGGCTGGAGTATAAGTAATTCATTGAAAAGGTAAGCACTTCCCTTCCTGTGCTATCTTAACTACCATGTATTCATCAAAATTGTGATCAGATATCACCACCCCTCATTCTGCAAGACAGTCACTATTCACATTTTGCTTTCTCTGTACTTCATATACCATGCTGTTCCTGCATTCATCTCTCAGGAATTACATGTTTAATATACCCACCTCCCTAGATAACTAGTAAGCTCATTGAGTGCAGAGACTAAATATTTTCGTTTTTCTCTCCTCAGTGCCAACTACAATGTAATACACTGAGGATGTTTGATGTATTTATTTAAATTACTTAAATTCAGGAAACTTACAGGCTGACAATATTATAGAGCCTACTTTGCCAAAA